GGACACCCTTCACCACTTCAGGATGCAACTGCCTAAACAGGTGGTTTTCAGGGTCTTCGGACCTTTCACCACTTCAGGACCATTCAGGATTTTCAGACTGCCAAAAACTCTCACTTCAGAATTTTCATTCCTGAATTTTCAGCTATCCGATAACCGTTTGTGGAAAGAACCTGTACATCGCCACGTGAAGAAAATACTGAACTGCACAAGTGAGACTACAACATACACACAGGTGAGTTATGGAAGCTACTAGGAAAAAAATGGCACATCACCAAGTGAGAGGGTGACTGAACTTGCACAAGTGGGACTACATCATACACACATGCGAGCTATGGAAGCTACTAAGAAAGAACCGACACATCACCAAGTGAGGAAAGACTGAACTTGCACAAGTGAGGTTATAACATACACACATGTGAGCTATGGAAGCTACTAGGAAATGACCGGTACATCACCAAGTGGAGAAAGGACTGAACTACACAAGTGAGAAATTAGAGCATACACTTCTGTGAAGCTATGAAAGCAACTACGAAGAACCGACACATCTGTAACGAGCGTGAGGCTGAGGGTGAGTCGAGGGAGAGGAGAGAGAGGGAGAGAGTGAGAGCACACACACACACTCACTCACTCGACACGACTGACTCGGACTGAGGATCGGACGCAGACATAGTGGCAAGCCACAAAGTCAAAGTCTTGGATTCCGAAATGCCGAAACAGCAAGTCACACTGAGTACGAGTACAGCAGCAGGGAACTGGTATGAGACTGGTCCCGTACCGTACGGGGAGCCGGTATAAGTACCGGTGACACGTACGGTACCAGGGGCATTTCTGCAAAGGCCCCGAGGGCAGAACTGAAAAATGCAGTATTTCAAAGTGGCGCCCGAATTGCAGCATGGCGCCAGTTGTCCGAAATCCTACGATACCAAAGGAGGAGTTTGGAAAAAGGGCACCAGGCCGAAAAAGGGATGCAGCTGAAACAGCAAAAAGATAGACCAGGGATCGAGCCCTGGCGAAGTCCATAACACTATCCCCTCTCTCTAGAAGGCAACGTCCCGGCTGCCAAAAATCATGAAGCAATGCTGAAATCTGTGAAGTACGGAACGGGGCCGATCACTGGTTAACAAGTCGAAAGGGAAGAGGGGTATAATGTGGGTGGCATGGGCTGCGGGAGTAAGAGGGAACAGGGTTTGGTACTGGTGAACAGAGTTGTCCTACTGATGAACTAGGGGGGGTTGCAAGGAACAGGGTAGTCCTACTGATGARCTAAGGGGACTGCATGGTTCGCTATAGGTTAAGGGGGAACAGAGTTCAGGGAACAGGGAACTTCTATTGATGTTCTACTGGGTAAGGRAAACGGTGTTCAGGAAAACAAGGTATTTCTATTGATGTTGTAGTGGGTAAGGGAAACAATGGTCAGGGGAACAGGGGATGTCTATTGATGTTCTAGTGAGTACGGGGAACAATGGTTAGGGAAACAGGGATCTGCTAATGATGTTCTACAGGGTTGTCAAAGTTAGGAAAAATAAAAATGAAAATGTTTGTTCAGGATGCGAAGGCTGGTGTGTCCGAAGGAGTCGGAAGCAGAATCTCATGTAGGAACAAAGTGTCCAAGTGTCTTGAAAGGGGGTCTGCAGCGGTCTTGATCAGGTCTTTGGAGTAGGTGGTAGAAGCGGTCTTCAGCAGCTGCGATAGGTAGAAGTCCAAGAAGCGTAGTAATAGTTCAAGTGTCAAAGTCCAAGTGCTAGGGTGCATCCGGTACACGAACTGCAATGAGGTCTGATCTGAAAGCAAGGAAGTCGCAGACTGATGCAAAGATCCATGTTACAAGTTGCTGCTCCAGTAAGTCTGCGAGTTGGGATGCCGGCCAATGAAACAGCATGGTGGCCAAACCAGCTGCATATTCTCCATGAACAGTGAGGCAGCAGATCATCGTCCTCGTGCGATTGCCATTAGATCCTTTATCGCCGACGTCACGCAAGTTCACAAGCATTGGACAAGAGAGACAAGGTAGTGGAGAGGACAGATGGGACAAGGCTAGGCGAGGGCAAGGGCAGATCAGACATCAGGAACGAGGATCAAGGGAAGGGGGGACTGGGTTCAAGGGTGTGTGTAGAGCAGGGTTGCAAGGGTTTGTAGCTGGGGTTTATGCCATAGTGATATAGGTATCTAGGACGTAGGATTAGCACGATCATAGGCGCGGACAAGTTTCATGGCGTTCATAAGATTAGAGAGAGGTTCCCATGTAGATTCTTCGTCGGGGTATCCGGTCCATTTGACTTCGTATTCAGTGATTGGTTCCGGATGATCAGATACCTGAGTGGTTCGTCGGCCGATGATGGTTTCGACAACGAATTCAGGTCCTGTGGGTAGCATGATTGGTGGAGGTTTGGGATATAGGCGGTCGGCGAACTGGAGCGGGGATTCATGGTATTCATTTAGGTACTCGACATGGAAGTAGAAGGGCCGGGTCCCGTGGAGTGAGGGGCCTGTCGAGTAAAGTGGCTAGCGTTGGGGCAGTTGGTCTGTTGATGACCTAACTGGCGGCAACGAAAACACCCGTTGTGTTCCTGGAGGTATATGCGTTCTCCGGGTGTGAGTTTCTGGAGGCGGCGGGGTGGAGAAGAAGAAGGCGGTCGAGAGGCACGATCCTGGCGTTTCATCTGTATAAGGTGGGCGGTCTGGAGGTCCTCGATGGTGAATTGGGAGGGGTCGAGAGAGGCAGTGTCGAAGTCGTCATCGGAG